GTGCCAGCAGTTCCGCTTACTCAGCAAGTGCTGCAATAGACAGAGGTTTATGTATAGGACGATTGCCTAGTTCAACAGATTACTTGTCTACTTACCGGGACGTTTGCCCCTCATGCCAAGGAAGCCGCTTGGCGCCCTTTTTCCGCTAATGAGATAGACCCAGGGCCGCATTGCATTCTGTTCTAAGCCGGTTCCATCCTCCACATTGCTTTTCTTGCCACGCACAGCTACAAATTTACTGTTAAAGTCCGCGTACCGTTGCTTCTTTCCACGCACATCGTATGCCCTTTTAAAGATTTTGCGCCACAACTGGGCATGGTTAGTTCCATAAATGTTTTCATTTAAAATTAATTAAGAGTTTAAGATAAGTGCGTGACAAAATATATTCGTTTATAAGTTAAAGAATACAGAAGTGACAAAAATATTCAAATTATGATGAAAACAAAAATCTGGCTTTTTCTCCATATTGTGTTTTAATAAAATATAGTATAAACTTTATTGCATTGTATTTTTTGTATTGTATGCATTGTATTTTTTGTCTCGCGCTCATCTGTAGTTTTACGTAATTGGCTTACCTCTGACAGAGCCGCCCGCTTGTAATGTTGATGTGATACATCCTTTTTACCGCGCACGCCTACAAACGAATTGACAGGTGCTCTTTTTGCAAGAAGCTCCATTGCATCTTCCTCATCCTCAGCAGCATCGTTTTCAGCCATCGATGGACGCTTGCCCCGCATACCAGTAAATCCGGTAGGCGCTCGCTTGGCCACATCGCTACCATCAATAGCAAGATGCTTAAGGAAATCCTGCAGCAGATTCTCCCGCAGTCGGTCCTCCTCCATCTGCTGCAGTAAATCATGCAGGCGATTGTTATTCGGCGTAAATTTCTTACCGCGCAAGCCAACAAAGGCTAACGGAGCTTTCTTTAGTCTACGCATGTTTTCGTTGTAAAAGTTGCCCGCATCATCTTCAGTGTAGTCCAAGGGATCGGGGCCTAACCAATTGTCATCTGCTGGTGGCTCCTGATCCTTTTTACCTCTCATGCCAATAAAGCTTAAAGTCGGAGCTCGTTTTACCATATTTCGTGGTTGTTGCTCTGCTCCAGGCGCTGATGTGCTAATGGTGCTAGCGTCAACGTCCTCTGCCTCGGCTTCAACATCGCTGCTCGCAACTGCGGCAGCTGTTAGCAACAGCACCACTAACAGTTGCTGATTAAGCATTGCTTAAAATTTCTGTTGCGTGCTTTTAGGCAGGTGCTACAAAATTAACGACCGCAAGATGGCGCAAAAGTTTTGAAAAATATAAAATGCCACTACAATTTATAAATATGGCATCTGAATTATTTTAAATACCAAAGCCCAAGTCTAAAACAGGGATGGTATCAATATGTATGTATGTACCTACTGCCCGTTGTGCCCCTTTGCACATAACCATTTTGCCACATTGAAAATGGGTAATTAGACAGAGTAGTATATAAATTAAATCAAAATATATGATTTGCGGACGTGTGCACTTGTTGCTAGTTCTTCATTGTATTTATAAAATGTGACTGCACAAATCGACGTTTTAAACAAAATAAGTCTGAATTGTAGAATTGTAATTGCGTAGGTTAATTTAATGATTTGTTGTGTACTCTGCATTGTCACAAATCGAATTTTATTCTATTCCTAATATATTTTCTTTTTGCACCAAAGCTAATATTCAAAAGTAGGGAACTGATCAACGCGTTTTGAAATATGTATGTGTGAAAATTGGATATTAATTGTGCCCAAATTATATTTGGCCGTACCTACACGTACTTATTATTAATAATATAAAATGATAATATTATATTAAAAGAGGAGGTGTAAAAAAAAATGACATTATATACTTTGTTTATGAAACACGTTGAGCTGCGTCTTCTTGACCTTATTTTGTTCGTTGTTCGCTCGGGAATCCACCTAGGTTTCATATAAATGTTAGACTGGAATACATGTTTCAATTGCAATTGGTACAAAAAGCCAACTGCTGTTGTTACAATTTATAGTCGCATAAGCAAATATTTGCAGACCGCACAAGCGGAGCCACCTTGGGGCTGAAATGGGTTGCCTCTGCTGCAGTGCGTCTATTGCTTGTCATTGATTATGCTCTCCCTCTCGTTAAGTAAAATTGCCATGCAAATGCGCTAGCAATGTCTGAGGCGCACTCTCGATAAGAAGGCTATACATATCCAGCAGCCAGCAAGGCAACTGGTGGTAAACCAGCAAGAACAAATGAGGGATCGACTACAGGATGCCTTTTTTTTACATAACTGAACATGAACTAGATTTGCCTCTGATACTGCAACAAAAGTTAATAGTATAAATACTGAGTATATTCATTATGAAATATATAAAAATTAAAATCGCGACCATCTTATTTTGCAATAACAAAATTCTTAAATTATTTAATATTATAATAAATTGTTTAAAAAAACGTCTTTTATTTTTAATGTTTTACTACAATATCATTCAATAAAATTAAATTTATATGCCTTTTAGAGCTGCCTACAATAAGGGTATGATAGCACTAACGATGCGCGCACAGGAAGCTGGAGACATGTAATTCAATTGATTGCCACTGTCGGCGAAAAGAAGTTCCAGGCCATAGACCAGGCGACAAGTGGCAATTGAATTGCACGCAAAAATGCATTTGAATTGAATTGATGTTAAATTTGCGGTAATCAACAGGTCGCGGGCCTAGCTAAGCCCGTTTGACGTCTGTGTGTGGTTTTGGTTTTGTTGGCTCTATGTTTAAGTACCAAATGCTGAAAGTTTTTAAATACTAAACATAACAGAAGTGGCGATGGAAAATGTCAAAGTATCAGACGGGTCGCACAGGCAGAGAGCGAATCCAACTATTATTTTTAAGCCCAAAGTTTCTGGCGCAAAATTAGCAAGCAGGAAAGTGTAGCTTCCTGTTTTTGAGGCGCCGCCCCTCAAGGCTCTTCATCATGACATAAAAGTGACAACAGGCAGCAGTCGAACAATGGCTTAGAAACAGGGCCAGTATACAGTCCTCACATGTGCCGCCCACGAAGCGTATGCATAATGTGGGTGGCCTTAAGCTAAGCTGTTAACATGTAGGTGGGTGTAATGTGAGTGCCTGCCTGCCTAATTGTCTATGTATGTGTAGATTTGTGTTTGCTTTGTGCAGCCCCAGCGGACACTTTAAACTGCCAAAAGGCCAACGGTCGAACGTTCGTGTGAGTATTAAAGAAGCGAAAGGCGTCGCAGTGCGAGATTTACATTTTGGCCAAAACATCGCCCAGAACGTGCCACGGATATCTTTGTGTACATGTGTTTATTTATGTATCTGTGCGGGCAATAAAGGCCCATTAACTCAGAAGTCGACCCACTACAACAACAATAAAAGGAACACGCGTACGAAATAAATAATAGAACAAAACGGAATAGAAAATTCATTTTTTGAGCAATTGGTCGCTCCATTTTCAGTTTGCCTGCGGCTGCATCTCGTCATCGCCCTTTTTGCATATCTCGCGCAGCTCCAGCAAAAACAACAAACCAGGAGATGGGGGTCGAAAAACGTGTTTTTGGGCAACAGTTAATGCATAGAATATGAAGTCTGCCCATACCTCTTTTTATAGCCCGTGCAGCTGTAGCCCAATTCAAATCATGTTTCACATTCATGTAAGCCAGAGTTGTATATTTTAGCCATTGGTCGCATTCACCAAGAACAAAAGGAGCCTATTAACAAACATATGGGCCTTTGACATTCAAAGGATTGTATTTCGAGCCTATTTTCCATATACAGGCAGCTATATTTTAAACAAACATTTGATTATTATTTCTGCCGCATAGCTTTAGATTGCTTATGTTATTGTAATTTGTTTACCGATTCACATTTTTTGAAGCATGTTTGAAATAAAAATTTTGGTTAAGATTGTGGATGGTATATACTAGAAGTTTTAAATACAGAACATTTATTTAATTAAGATTATAATGAGTTATTACAATGTGCAACCAAATGACCAGGTGTTAGGGTAACTTCTGTTTTATATTTGTATACCCTTGCAGAGGGTATTATAATTTTGTCGTTAAATGTGTAGAAGAAGACATCTCCGACCTTGAAAAGTATATATACATATATATATATACCACTACATCATATAGCTTCCATTGGAACGATCGGTATAATATTAAGTCATATGAAAAACTTATTGTTTTTCAAGATATCTTATCAATAGTCGGCATTATCTATTTTCCCTGTGCTTCTTTGATACGGGCAAAGCACTATGAGCTTAAAGAAAAGGTTGGGTCTGTAAGGGTATTAAATCTTCGGCGTACCGAAGATAGCCCTTCATTCTCGTTATATTTATTATTATTATTTATATTAGAAGCAACCTATTTGTATATTAATTGTTTTATCCTTTGCTACAAACTGTTGTTATCCCGTTAGTCTTCGAGCCCGATTAGAATTTTTTTAGTCATAAAGAGAATCTTTAACCAAACCCGTTTAAAAACAAAAGAGCTTAAATCCATACTGAAGCATATTTTTTCAAAATTTAAGTTCTGTCTTTTAAGCGATACTTAACAAACGCACTTGTTTAATAATATTTGGTAGATCAAATTTAGCGCGTAAAAAATCCAAATCAAAGCCAGGGCATGAGACTCAAGCCATTAAGTAAACCACCGATAGTAATTTTTTGTTTGTGTTCAGCCCCTTGGACATTTCAATATATACAGTAATATGTACAAATATGTGAATATATCATAAATTAGAAATTATGAATAATCAAAAATGACAAGATTGATTTATACCAGAAAATTGTGTTATTTAAATTGCTCAAGATGTGTTTTAATCGAGGAAGTTATAAAAGTTCTTTGCCCATGTGAAAAGTGCTGCATATGCACAAATGCCCACATAAAGCATACATAAATGATTCAAGAATCGTTCTCGCCGCGTGCTTAGATGCACTTATCAACAGTTCGTAGCTGGCGATCGTTCAGTTTGAGTTTAGCTTTGAAGCGAGACGCACGGCTTGCTCCAGCTGTGAATTAACTAAATGAAACGTGCACAGTGTTCATAAGAGATAATTACATATTTACAAATGTACATACGGATCTAGATCCATTAGCTGTGTATATATAATTATCCTAGACCAAAAATCGTGACTGACAAGCAGATAAAGGCGTTCCACGCTGAGGACCAGGTGAGCATCGAAAATGTGACAAAGAAGCAAGTACTGCTATCTTCTTGGAACTCTCAGTCGAACCCTGCTGACCTGCTGAATGAGAGTAAGCGTATTGCTTAGCTAATGCTTTTCATAGAATTCTATGTGTTATTTAGCTGAGCTCAGCAAAAATAAGAACAATGGGCTAGTCTAAAACAAATTAAAATAATCAAATTTCTCAGGTAACTCTCCGGGAACACGGGCATGGGCTTGGGCTTGTACTTGCGCTCAGGCATGCAAAATAATTGAATTGGGTCAAATGTTTAAAATGCCTGTCTCATGTTGTGCGATTGCTTAACGAAGAATAACATTAAAGATATGCCACAGATTTCGTTGTTCTTGCCTATATAAATTACATTTTACGAATTCCGTTTTGACTGCGGGTATATGATGTACATATGTAGATATATGTATGGGTATGTGGGTATGTACGAGTAAATAAATGCATATATGGACAAATCGTTTTAGTGATTGCCTCAATTTTGGAAGGTCTGCGGCACTCATCCAAGTTCAGGGCCGGGAATTCACACATCATTTAATTCACATTCAATTAAGAACACGCATTATATTAGCTTTGATACAATATATCAGGTTGTTTTTTATTTATACCCTGAACCTTTGGAACCCATTACAAATGGGTAAAAAGGGTATAAGGAATTTGTGCTTATGCACGTAACAGGCATCTCCCATAAAGTATATGTTTTCTTGATCAGCATCAATAGCCGAGTCTATATAGGCATGTCCGTCTGTCCGTCCGTCCCTCCGTATGTATGAATGCAAGGATTTCAGAAACTATGAGAGCAAGAGAAACTATGAGGTTTTAAACGTAGTTCCTCTTAGTGCCCGCGCAGTACGAATTTTTTTCCGGTAATCGATAACTTGCCCCGTTTCCAAGCAAAAATCGATAACGAAATCCTGTTATTTTTTTTAGAAAATTTCTTTGGTTTTAACGGCTAGAGTCACCAAAATAGACATTAGCTTCTTGAATAGCATACGAATACATAGTATTTTAAAGCAACTACCCACCAATATATATTTATATTTCCAAACATTATATAGCACAATAAGATCTACTGTTTCATCAAGTTCGGTTAAGAAACCCAGAAGTTATTGAAGAAAACGTGTGCTAATATTGACACGTGTTTGCGGCAGCTAGCGAAACTTGGAGGAATTTATGTCTATGTATATGTATACACACACTTTCATGCGCGTCTTTATTTAATTCTCACAAAAACATTGCAACTGCGATTGAATTGTATTTTGTTCTGTATGTATGTACTTTGTTTTTTTTCATCAACAATGAGTTGTTGGTGTAGCTGTTGAGTAGAGGCGGTGCCAAGTAGTGTGGTCAGTTACGAGTTCGAGTCCCAATAGGGGAAAGAGCCTCTTGTTTTCATTTTAACAGTATTTTTTACATAACATTCACATAGAAAATTCTACTTTCACTTGAGAATTATATTGAAATACCATCAAACATTCCTAAATAGACACCGGTTTCGAATAGAAGCCTCGAGACAATTTTTTAATTTTTCCTAACATGTTAAATTATATATCTATTAGTATATTGAATCAATACCAGAGACGACGTGCTTCTTAGTTTTAATGCTACCTTAATGGGACAATGTATGTATATATCATATTTATACCCTGTAGTACAAAATTATGTAGAGAAATATTTAAAAAAAAAAATAAACTCGTCGATTGCAAGATTTATTATACTTCTAACATTTTTGGCGAGCTTTATGTATTACTATATCATTTAACTCCAATGATCATAATGCATACGAATGTGTGCCTTTGGTTCACAATATTATATCATCTTCAGCTTGCCGAACAATCTCTTTTCTTTTTTACTTATTACTTTATTCACCAGTTTGATGAAGCAAAACAGAAATGAAATAATGGTCACATATCAAAACGGTGCATGAAGCATAAGCAAATGTAAATCGTGAGGTAGATCACACACTTACATACATAATCTGGCTTTAAGTGGGCAATATGTCACTACACGATAAGAACTAGTTTGGGAACTAGCAGAACTGCGCTTAAGAAACATTTCATTATAATTTTCGAACACCTGTATCAGCGCATTAATAAGGCCCATGGCGTTGTGAACAGCAAATAGATAAATAAAAACAAGTAAGAGGGCTCTATTCGAAAGTGCCCGACTAGCAACTACTAGCCGCAACGTCTATATAATTATACTTCACGAGCAATTACAAGGCATGTTCAGTGACCCTGCCTCATAAAACCTGCGAGAAATTTTCAAAAACCCGATATCAGTATCGTATACAAGGCAAAATGTTTTCATGTTTTGAAACAAACTTTTACACAGGAAGGATCTTCCTTAAATATGCAAGTCTCTAGCTCTTATAGGTTTTGAGATGGACGCGCTCAAACATACGGACAGGCGCACGCTAAACATACAGACAGAAAATATGAGTAGATCGAATCGGGTATTTATGCTGACCAAGAATATATGTATATATTATACTTTATGGGGTCGGATAGGCTTCCTTCTGCACAAAACCATTGTACCCTTTTTACATACACATTTTCATTAAGTTTAGGGTATACAAATATGAAATGTGAGTGCGCATAAAATGAATGCTGAAAATGCTAAAGTTTTGGCAAAAGTTATTGGCCAAACAAAACCGCATTAATTTATAATTGATTAATCCACCGAGGCTCCGCATTAAATTAGTTGATTTTATAAGCAGAACAAACAGAGATTTGTTCAGTTAGCTGTCAGTCAATTAGTCGGTCAGTCAGTCGGTGAGGGAAGAGGCACTGCTGACACACGCCAAAAATGCCAACTAAATAATTGAACCATGAACTTGAATTGAGGCATCTCAACTCATCCCAGCTAAGCTGTTTGCGGTGGCCGAAGATTTTACTAGATTGCTAGTGAATATGTTATAGGAAGCTGGCCGATTTTGTTTCCGGCAGCAGCAAGATGAGTGTCGTGGCCTCGGATGTGATATGATAAGGAAAATTCGCACAAAGGGAAGTAGCATTCGTTTCCTGCAGTATTGCAGTAGTCTAATATGGAACAACCGCCAGGTATATTTATGCTTTGTAATTTAGTCGGGCTGAGCAAATAGGTTAAGAGCACCAAACTATTCCAAGTGATTAAATATAAATTAAAGCTGTTAGACGACTATATACATAAAAGTAGAATTTAAATCATAATATATTAATTAACTCTTTAGTATTAAAATATACATAATTGCCTCGTAATAGCCTTTTTTTATAATTATCCCCGTTGATTCTTGCTACAAAAAAATGATAAATTAATGTTCAATAATGTTTGCCATCTATTTTATTTGCTCTTTAGTAATTCAGGTGGATCTTATTGATATTTATAGAACACAGATTTCAGCTGATATTTCCCCGAAGTAACTGCCATTCAGAGTTGTTGTCTTACTTGAAAACTATAAAGCACTTAATCTTTTTCCAACTTTGTGGTATATCTAATGCATACTCAGGCTTAGCTTCGTTTAACCATTGTTTTCTACTGGTCCAACTAATCACCAAATAATCACCCTTCAATATGGCGTACAAATTGTAGCGCAGTTGTGTGTCGATAGTTAATCGGGGTATAGATAATTTAATAAGTGCGTTGTATGTTTATTTTTTCAAAGCAGAATTCGCCTGGTCAGAATGAATTTCTACTATGGTTTAGTGATCATATTGGCATTGGTTTCAATTGCTGAAATCGGCAGCAGCAGTCGCACCTTCATTGTGGACTATGAGAATGATCGGTTTCTAAAGGATGGACAGCCATTTCGCTTCATATCCGGCTCCTTTCACTATTTTCGGGCTCATCCTGATACCTGGTCGAGGCACTTGAGAACAATGCGTGCCGCTGGTCTCAACGCAGTTACTACGTAAGTTCAAACATGGCAACTGTCCTGCAGGTTGAATATTAAATTAAATATAATTTTGTCCATCCAAAAAGATACGTAGAATGGTCACTACACAATCCGCGCGACGGCGTCTACGTTTGGAATGGCATTGCAGACTTGGAACGCTTTATACGTCTGGCTGTCGACGAGGACTTGTTGGTGATACTGCGTCCAGGTCCCTATATTTGTGCTGAGCGCGATATGGGCGGCTTTCCATACTGGCTTCTGAACAAGTTTCCTGGCATACAACTGCGCACAGCCGACATTAGTAGGTTCCCCGGCAAAATACCCAACCTACAAAACCTAACCCAATTCCCTCTCTGCAGACTACCTTAGTGAGGTGCGCATATGGTATGCCCAGCTAATGGCACGCGTTGTGCCTTATCTTTATGGCAACGGTGGACCCATTATCATGGTTCAGGTCGAGAACGAGTATGGTTCGTACTTTGCTTGCGACCTAAATTATCGCAGCTGGTTGCGCGACGAGACCCAGAGCCATGTTAAGGATAATGCCGTGCTGTTTACCAACGATGGACCCACCGTGCTGCGTTGCGGCAAGATTCAGAATGTTTTGGCTACGATGGATTTTGGAGCCACGACAAATCTCAAGGACATCTGGAGCAAACTGCGACAGTACGAGCCTAAAGGTCCACTAGTAAATGCCGAGTACTATCCCGGCTGGCTGACACACTGGACAGAGCCTATGGCCAATGTGAGCACTGAGGCAATAACGGGAACATTCATGTAAGTGGTATTAAGACTATTGGCAGGTTCAATAATTACGAAAGCAGATTTTCTAATGATTGTGTACTCAATTATCTTAATAGTTCTTCTAATTGCTCAGCCTTGATTGAAACATTCGAAAAACATTAATTGAAAATTATTTACACTATACTTTCAGTAATATGCTAGAGAGTGGCGCCAGTGTGAATTTCTACATGTTTTATGGTGGTACCAATTTTGGTTTTACGGCAGGCGCCAATGACAACGGACCTGGTAACTATATAGCAGACATAACCAGCTATGATTACGACGCGCCCATGACAGAAGCGGGTGATCCCACGCCCAAGTACATGGCACTACGCCACATTATTGGCAGGTATTTACCACTGCCGGATGTGCCAGTGCCGCAGCCGGTGCCAAAACGGGCCTACGGCATTGTCAGGCTGCTCAGCTGCTGTACGCTGTTCTCCAGAGAGGGTCGAGAAAAACTCAGTACGGGCGTTGTGCGCTCTACGAACCCAAAAACGTTTGAGGCCCTGAACCAATACTCTGGCCTGGTACTGTATGAATCTTGGTTGCCCGCGCAGTTTAAACGGGATCCGAGTGTGTTGCATGTGCGCGGCCTGGCGGACCGTGGCTACGTCTATGTGGACAATGAATTTGTGGGCATACTGGCGCGAGAGACGCCCATTTTTGATTTGCCACTAAGTGCTAGCTCGGGTAGGCACTTACAGATTCTGGTAGAGAATCAGGGACGCCTTAACTATGGAAGGCAGCTAAATGACTTCAAGGGCCTCACGAAGGATGTGCGCCTGGACAAGCAGATATTGACCAGCTGGAACATGACTAAGTATCCGCTGGAATCGTACGAAAACCTAGAAGCTCTCATAACCCAGTCGACTGAAGCGGCAAAAGTTGGCTTTCAAGAGATCAGAAAACTGAAGACGATACTACGCAATGGACCAGCTATCTACTACGGCAGGTTAACCATCGACAGCGCCGATCAGCTGGCGGACACATACCTGGATATGTCCGGCTGGGGAAAAGGTATTGTCTTTCTGAACGGCGAGAATCTGGGCCGCTACTGGCCTCTGGTTGGCCCGCAAATAACACTATATGTGCCCGCCGCAGTACTAAAAGTGGGCGGGAACCGTTTGATCCTGGTGGAATACCAACAGACGCCCACTAATATGGAGCTGCAGTTTCGCGATACGCCCATTTTGAATAGCAGAGTAAATTAGCTTATACAACAATAGTACATAATGATATATGACATATGTAAATTTTTCAAAATAATTTTTTTTGTAAGGCATAAAAATCTGGTGATGGCTCCTTTTTTCCTTTGTAAGCCTGCTACTAAAAGACTCATTACAGCAGCAGCAGTAACAAAAACAGCTACACATGTGACCTTTATGCGCGGCAAAGGCGACACGCCTTCCCAAATTAATCCCAAATGATTGAAGTCTACAGCAGCGCAGAGGCTGGTGAACCAAAGTCGGCAGAAGTTCAAATTCGCCGTCTTCGCTCGTTAGTTATAGCGCCCTGGTTAAAATGTGGGTCTATAGAAATATATTTGTTCGTAGTTGCCTTTTTGATATTGACGCCAGATCCATAGACTTAATATATTATGATAGACCCATTAAATTGAAAACGCATTGAACCGATTTTAAAAAATACATTTGCATGCGTCCTGGCGTTTCATCTGGCGTTTGAGTTTTTGCACGACATGCCTGCCGACTGGCTGGGATAGGTGCATAATCAGCGGTAGAAAACTAACAAAATTGATTTCTTTGCCAGCTAAAGCCAGAGATGTGAATAACAACACATTCAAATATGCTATATGTATGTATACTAACACACATGCAAACATAATTGCTTGCACGGCTCTCATAGAGCCGAAGCGCAGAATACATTCTATTTTTAGCTTTTCGCTCTTTCGGCTGTGAGAGCGCATTGATACTGATTTTGTTTTCGTTCTCAATTTTCAAAAAAGCAAGCTGCATAGTAGCATTTTGTTGTATGGCGTTACTCATCTTAGTGTTTATATTGTCTTTGCCTGAACCCTCTTATTCCAACACCAAATGCAGCTCACACTCGTTTGCTTTAGTAGTAATAAAGATAATATAAAAAAAAAAACTCGTAACTAACCGCGCTACTTTCCGCCGCCTCTACTCAATCGCCACACCAATAATTAAGTCTTAGTGAGAAAAAAAAGAATTAAAATAGCAGCACAGAAAACAATACAATCGCAATTGCAATGATCTGACATGTATACAGAAATTCTTGGAATTGGCGCTTGCTGCTGCACGTGTTTGCAGGCCAAAACACATTTTCTTTCGTGTTTCTTAACCGGTCTTGATGACATTTTCAGTAGTAGATCTTATTGTACTATAAAATATTCGTGTATTCTCAAAATGACAATTGCATTTAAATTGTGGCCTAATTAGGTAGGCAATACAAGTTGGTTTAATAAAATGATTTAGAGCTTTGTGGTGGTAGCGGGGAGGTGGGGATAGCTATAAAATGAAAGATACTTCATATATATATATTCAAGAAGCTACATGTCAAGTTTGGCGACTCTAGCTTTTATAATTTACCAAAATTGCGCAAAAAACAGGACTTCGATATCGATTTTTTATCGATTACATGGAAACGGGGCAAGTTATCGAATATCGGAAACAAACTGCGCGGGGACTAGGAGGACCTACAGCTAAAATTTCAAGTCTCCAGCTCTTATAATTTCTGAGATCTTTGCGTTCATACATACGGACAGACGGACGGGCGGACGGGCGGACGGACGGACAGATAGACGGACATGGCTAAATCGACTCGGCTGTTGATGCTGATCAAGAATGTTTATACTTTATGGGGTCGGAGATGCTTCCTTCTGCCTGTTACATACATTTGCACAAATACATTAAACCCTTTTTACCCATTTGCAATGGGTTCAGGGTATAAAAAAAGAAAATACCATGCTGCCAATACTGATTAATTTAAACTACTTAACGTTCAATTCATGATCCTTAATGACCTATTGGCTAAAATGTTTAATGCATAATGAGCTGCACATCCAAAGAAAATTGCAGGCTGTTCGAATTAACGTCTCACCTCTAGGTTAAGTTCATGAATCTTATTTTGATTTTTTAATTTGAATTAATGCAGATTGTCAAATTTCTTCCACAGTTTGCTAAAAGCTTAAAACATGCTATCCGTAAAATTTATTAAGAAAAATCGATTTTTTCTATTTTCCACTGCCCAAAACGGCGTGGGCAAAATATTTTTGGATCGATCTCTAGAAGTAGTATTCCATCACAATTCGGCCAATCTAGCTGTTACGCTGTGGAAGATGCACACTGCGGAAAACAAATTAAAGTTTTCATATTTCGAAACAAATTTATTACTCAATGGCATGTGTATGTAAAATCAGAATGCGCGACGAAACTCTTTTGTCTTCCCTCTAAGAATTAAATTCGCCGAACAATATTTTTGCCGTTGTTCTGATCTTGTTTGTGTAAGCATGCATTGCCTTCTTTTATACTGTGCACACATATTAGAATTCGAAATTTTTGGAGTTCCAATTGTATTTATAGGCAATTTAAATTTCAATATTAATGTATAAGTTAGAAATCTGCACCGGATCAATAACTTTTTATTGATCTAGCCATCCAGCTGCTGTAATGAGACCTGTTTCTACAATTCCTGTTGTACTTGATGTTCAGGTTCATTAGACCGCGCTATGGTCCACACACTCGCAGCTTACCATCGGATATTTATTTTTTAAAGCATCTCTTAGGCGCAGCTGCAACTCGAGTACTTTGAAATGTTTACAAAGCCTGTGTAGGTTTAGGTGTGTAAGAGTGCTGTGCACAAACATTTTGTTCTACTTGCTACTCATGTACGTATTTATATACTAATTGTGACTGTCCAAGTTGACATAAAACAAGTAATGGCCCAGCGGCTGTTTTAAAGCGACGCCCCATGTTGCCCATTTGTAGTTTTTACAGAATTTTAATCTTTTGTCCCCAAATGGTGATGCGTGTGCCATATCACAACACCGGATGCGAGTGGCTTTAGTTGGTTTCGAGCCGCCGATGCGTGACACAAGTAAATCTCCGCATTGATGTAGGTTTTTATTAGCTTTAGCCGCCGGCTGGCGTTGAAATGTCAAGTTGCTAACTATATGAAAAGTCACAAAACATTTTGATAAGATACAAGTGAACAATTACTAAGAAACATATTAATTATTGTAAGTTCGGTGGACATGATTGAATTTAATTCATTGTCTTTAAGAAGTTTTAAATAGTATTTCCGCAGTCTAGTGCGCATTAAGAATATCATTCCTGAATTCAAAAAATTATTATTAAAATGATTCGTGCATTTAGAACATATTCGTGCGTTTGAAACCAAACATGTATATTTATACCTATAAAAAATTATATTTAAAACATATTTATATGTAGATTTTTAAGAAGCAAGTATTTAAGAAACTGAAGTCTTCCAGCAGAACCAATATAACATTTTCTGCTTGACCTCACACCTCATGGAAAGCAATCGTGCAGAGTGAACTAATTTCTTGAATTTCTATTTTTCCCAAGTAAGCGTCAACAATTGATAATGTTAAGCTGAAAATCTTTTTGAGCTTCTTCACTAACACTTAACAGTAAATATTCATTTTTACTCAATGCGACACTCAAACTGAGCAATAAATTCAGTCTGTAGCTTATTTCTTTTTTGTGTAATTATCTAAATGATTTCGAATTCGTTACAAGGCAAGATGCGGTTTTATGCTGTTACTGTCTGTAACAAAACAATTCCAACAGGCAACTTAAATAATTTATGATAAAAGTCAGAAACTGTTGTACATGTCTTAATTTTTGTTACAGTCCTACTTTGCAACATTGGAATTCAGATAAATTCGTACTTCCACAAATTATGAAATATGCTTGGTATTTAAAATAAATATAACAATGCACTTACAATTTTAAATTGTTAAAATTTAAAATTTCAACTGTGTGCCTTGTGGTTTTTAACAGCTCTTTGTGAGCTACTTATTTTTTTATAATTTTCTTTTTATGGTACGCACCGAACGAACACGCCGAGAAGTATGCAACAACTGAGCGACAGATCAAAGCGGCAATGGACTTTATAAATGCTCGGCGCAGGCCGCCAACGAAGAATACAAGTACAACCACACACACATACAGCTGGATACGTTTCGTTAGACACACACACACACAGCGAACAGGAAACGACAAGCACGAAGCAGCTCGTGAGTCGCTCGGCTGTCGCTTTCCGCGTTCTTGTTCGTGTATATCAACAATTGGTCGAATAGAAACTTGTATGAGAGTGTGCATGTATGTGTGTGTTATTCACTGAGTGGCATGGGACTCGTGCATATGTATGCGAGCATACATGTAGCAGAGTTTGGTATTGGTGTTGGTCCGCTTTTATGTGGGCGCCACTTTGTTGCAGAAAACAAAAAAAGGAATAACGGATGCATACTTTCAGGTCGCGGCGCGCAATTGAATTGGTCGGAAATTTTGTTTGCATATGTGAATAAAACATTAAACAAGAAAAAATTGAGTCTGCCCTTCATATATATATACGAAAATCATATGCAATGGAGCAAAATTTTTTGTTTTTTAAATTCATTTTCCCAATTTGGCTTCTTCTTATAAATACCGGTTAAAGCTGTTAACAAGTTACAAATATTAACTTTTCCAAAATATCCATAGTTGCATATTTGCATTAAGCCCGACTGTCATTATTTACACGATGCAAATAAATAATTCGAGCGTCGCTCATAAAAGTAAATAATGACTGTCCGTTTTAATTAAACGCACAAAAACATTTATTTTTTTATTTTAGAATTCGTTGTAATTTTTTTGCCTGCGTCATGCAGACATGAGCGATGGCACGGGAGAAACAATTACATGCAACATGCATCTTTTAGGCGCGTACTGCATTTAAACGTCGGGCGGCACTTGAGGCGAGGCCAGCTTGGAGAGCATCAAGACCTAGACCGAACAACCAGAAGCCAAGATATAAAAAACCACGTGCCACTCGTAAGGGCCAAGTGCATGCAAACATGACCGCCCACATCCGTTTATCCTTTGCTTATAACCGAAAGGCAAGCGTTTATTACTGTACCCTGTGCAAAAACAAAATATTTAAACAAGCGTTTTTAATGCAAATGCAGATATATACAACTAAATTATGTATGCCGTAAGTATGCAGTATGCCGTTGATCTACGTAATTTAAGTATGAATATCTGCTCTACTTTTACTTTCTAAAGTTTCTTAGAATACTCTTTTGGC